CTTGAAAGAGCATCACAAAATTAGTAATATTCCGAAGTTTCGTTGCGAAATGTTGTAAAATGCGGATAATATAGCCTTGCGAAGTTTGCAATTTTCAGTCATTTTGTATTACAAACGGGAAATACATACCCTTTTTCCGAAGGAGGTACGTATTTCCCGCGCGTAATACAAAATGACTGAAAATTGCAAACTTCGCAAGGCTATATTGTCCGCATTTTACAACATTTCGTAATGAAACTTTGGAATATTACAAATTTTGTGATGCTCTTTCAAGCTGTACTGTGATAAAATTTTTGTCTAGACTTGTTGAGATCTAAATTTTAGTCAAAAGGTGAAAGGTCCATTAGACCAGGGGTTAAAGGGCAATGACAATGACATGCAGGTGACATTTAACATTGCGTCTCACTAATAGGCAATTCCCATTATAGCTAAGCATCATGGGAAATGTGGTAGGCTTCACTTGGAAGGCACTAGATAGGATCGACCTAAACCCCATGAGCCATAATAGCACCTTACATAATAGCAGAAATCTTTATTATACAATTTATCTAAATATAATCTATAAAGTAGCAAAGTACAAGATGTCTATTTACATGCACTAATATTAGTATTATATTCTATATATTTAATACCAGACAATATTTTGTCTGATGTCACCAACCTTTACATTAATTTGCTTATAAATATATGTTAGGTGTGCTGCAGTAGTACTGTAGGTTTATACTTTAATATAAGGAACTGGCATATGCAACAAATAGATTTTTTCCTCTTTGAATGGATAAGTCATATGCTTTCTAAATTTTTCTGATTAATGTATGCCAGCAGGGTTGACCCCTCCCTGCTTGAATGGATCTTGCATTTCAAGAACCAACTTGAACATGCTGTCTGCAGCAGACGGTTCCCAGTGTGTGAACATTAAGTGTAGCTTTGGTAATGTAATACATATTATAATGTTACTCAATTGCTTATTAGTTTAACCCATTGAGCCGCACTACTTATTTTTTTACTTGTCTAACGCCAGACGATTTTACTCGTCAATGTGGGAGCCCTGTAGTTTAATGGGTTAACCAAAAAATCTGACAATGTGTCTAGTTAACCCATTGAGCCACAATGCGCCCTATATTTTTTTACTTGTCTAACACCAGATAATTTTACTTGTCAATGGGGAAGCCACCCCCCCCCCCCCCCCCCCCCCCCCCCCCCCCCCCCCC